GCAGGCCCCAGCTTGCCCCGACCTCGAAACTAGGTTCCTTTAGGGTTTAGGGTTTAGGGTTTTAAGGTTTAGGGTTTAGGGTTTCAGGGTTTAGGGTTTAGGGTTTTAGGGTTTCGGGTTTTAGGGTTTAGGGTCTTAGGGTTTTAGGGTTTGGGGTTTAGGGTTTTAGGGTTTAGGGTTTAGGGTTTAGGGTTTAGGGTTTAGGGTTTTAGGGTTTTAGTGTAGGGTTTAGAGTTTAGGGTTTGGGGGTTTAGGGTTCACTCGACTCTCTGTGAGGGCATCATGGCCAATCGCGGTCCCTTGGGCGGCGAGGGGTTCAGGTTGCAGCGCTTTGGGGGTCTCAATCATACTATGGGGGTCGGAATACTTCGTAAGTGATGTTGTCCTTTTTTCATACATGTTCTGGTTATACTTTATTGGTTTTTACGAGATATCACCTAAACCCCAAACGCCCGAATCCCTGAACGCTAAACCCTAAAAGCCCTAAGCCCGAAAAGCGCTAAGCACCAATGTTGTGAGGCCCTAAGCTCGCGGAGATACCCCTCGCCATCAAGGGGAAGGCGGTTTGAGGGTTCTGCTTTGGACGTCAGGTATCAGGGTTTAGCGGCTTCAGCGATTCCGAGAACGGCTGTGTTGAGGGCAACTACTTTGAGGCGGGGCCCCAAACTGCGAAGCTGCGAGAAGCTCCGAAGCTACGAGCATCACGCGACCCATGAGCGCCACGACCCTAAACCCTAAACCCTGAACTCTAACCTCTCAGCCTTAAGCCCTAAACCCTAAGCTCTAAACTCCAAGCTCTTAAGCCAAAAGCCCTAAACCCTGAGCCATAAACTCTAAGCCCAAAGCCACAAACCTTAAACCCTAGACCCTTCCAACTGGCAGCTTCTCAAACCTAAGGTTGAACCCATGGGCCCCTAGTATGGGCCCTTAACCCTCGGATCCTTGACACCTACTATATACCCTATATGTACCCTTGAGGGTCCCTAGAAAGGCCTAAACCCTAAGCCCTAAACCCTAAACCCTAAACCCTAAACCCTAAAGGCCTAAGGGTCCATATCAAGGGCCCATACTTCTGACCTTGGAACCTGGGGGTTTTCGGTAACCCTAAACCCCTAAACCCCTAAACCCCTAAACCCTAAACCCTAAACCCCTCAACCCTCAACCCTCAACCCTAAACCCCTAAACTCCTAAACCCTAAACCCTAAACCCTTAAAAAAAAAACCTAAACCCTTAAGGGTCCCTAGAAAGGCCTAAAGACCTTAGATCAAAGATCTGTCGGGTTTAGGTGCATGGACTTAGCGGCTCTCGGGTTGCTGTAGAGTCTACACTTCACGGTTTTAGGGCTTTAGGGTTTTCGGGTTTTAGGGTTTAGGGCTTTAGGGTTTAGGGTTTTAGGGTTTAGGGTTTAGGGTTTTCGGGTTTTAGGGTTTACGGCTTTAGGGTTTAGGGTTTTAGGGTTTAGGGGGTTGAGGGTTTTAGGGTTTTCCGAGCTTGTCAAAGGTCCGCACTTTGTATATAGAAGGAAGTTGCTGCTGCATGTCGGCTCGGAGCACAAGCAAGGGTTCTCGAGCCGAAGACAATTGCCCGTCTCTGTCGAAGGCAGAAGGCATCCTAGTTCTGATGGTTCGCACGGCTGAGCAGGATATGCATGCCGTGCAAGCCGTTTGTGAGCAAGAGAGTGATGTCTGGCTCGTGTGGTGTTTCGAGCACTGCTGCAAGGCAGAGTATCGCCAGGTGTATGACGAGTTGAAGGATGTGGCTACTGACACCGGGTGCAAGTTCGTGTATCATAAGATACTCGGGGGCATTTTGGGGGGTATTTCTGAGTCTGAGTTTTCCTCACAGTCTCGTAGAGTCACCAAGTCACAAGTAGTTCTGAGGGCCCTTGAACTAAACGCACAGGAAGTGCGTGAGCTTTGTCAACTGGTTGGAAGGGCGCTCCGGAAGCATCGTGCTCGTCGCAGACTGGCGAGAGGCAAAGCCCATCATGAATTGGCTCAACAAGCAGGAGGACGGTTACGACCTTCGCATGAAAGTGGTCGCGCAGTCCGAGAAGATCTTTCGCCGTGCTTCTGCCTGGGCAAGCAACCAGAAGAACATTCTGGTGATGCCTGGATTCTCTCGTTCGATCGTGGAGGAGATGGTCGCAAGCCACGCGCATGCCGTGCAGGCCACGGAAATAGCATCCGAAGGTGGCGAGATTCTCGTCGCGCCCTTGCCTATGCCCTTGTCTTTGCCCAGTCTTCTCAAAGCAGTCCAGGATCCCGGACAGTCTGCTTTGCTGGAGAAAATCATTCTGCAACACATGTGGCAAACTTACGAGGACTGAACCGAAGAAAATGAGGACTCAGTGAGCCCTTGAATCTGAAGCCTAAGCCCCCAAACCCAAAACCCAAAGCCCTTGACCCTAAACCCTTAAACCCTAAATCCTAAACCCTTAAATCCTAAAACCTTAAACCCTTAAACCCTAAAACCCTAAACCCTAAACCGTTAAACCCTAAATCTGACTGCTTGAACACTGCTTTTTTCCACCTGATGACTGGCGATTTCAATAGGAATTTCCGGAGCTCCCAGCTTGCTGGCTTTGCTGGGTTTAGGGTTTAGGGCTTTGGGTTCAGGGTTTTGGGTGTAGGGTTTGGGGTTTAGGGGTTTGGGGTTAGGGGTTTAGGGTACTGGGTTTAGGGCTTAGGGCTTAGGGTTTTGAGTTAAGGGTGTACCTTGAGTGGCTGCAGAGGATCTCACTTACACTGGTAGTAGTAGGGAGACCCCTTAAAGGGGACCCTTCTTAACCCCGCCTTTGGCCCTCTTACTGAGAGGGTTTTTTTTCTCCAAGGGTTCCCCTGATCCTAACTCCCAACTTTCCCGTATTTTCCGAGGCTTTCAAGGCTGGCATTACGGTTTAGGGTTTAGGGCACCTTCAGGCCTTCACCCTAGATCCGCTATCTCAAATACATAAGCGGAGAATGATTCGAAGAGCTTATTCCTCAAGGTTCCTGCATGTGCTGAGAGTAGAAGATCCCTCAAAAACTCATTGCACTTTGATTCCCCGACACACATAAAACCTTGGAAAGACCCGCAACACAAATCCATCGTATTTGCGGCTTTTTGAAAGATGGTCCTAAACCCGAAGCCCTAAACAGAAGCCGAGAAGATACTACAAGCCCCCAGAACAGCGGCGGAGCTCCTGCAGCTTTCTTCACATGCTAGGGGTAAGCGGTTTGGGTTTAGGGTCCAAGGTGGGATTTCGTCCCACAAAGCCTGGGTGTAGGCTTTGGGATAGAAGCCCTATTCGAATACGTGTTTTCATTCTCATCGTCGTAACAAGCATCATTCTACTAACTTACTGTTGATATCAGCACTTGGACCTGAACCGAAGATCGCCCTCGCCTCCACTGGCTGGCGCCCTCTGTGATCATTCCTTCTTTTGGGCAGCACGCGGCCCGCCCCACGACGGGTCAAATCCACCCTGTGCCTGGGGGGGTTGCTCGAACATCTGAAATGCAAGCTGTAGACACTAAACCCTAAACCCTAAACCCTAAACCCTAGTTCGGGCTCGATAGGCCTGCCCTACATCCAGAAAACGCCCAACCCGGACGCCATCTTTGCGGAAGTCGTACTTCTCGTGCCCAAACATTCCAAGATGTATGTAATCAGCCCTAAACTCCAGCCCTAAACCCTAAACCCTGAGCCCTAAACCCTAAACCCTGACGGTTTAAGGTTTAAGGTTCAGGGTTTAGGGTTTAGGGACCCTAAAACCCTAAACTCTGAACCCTAAACCCTAAACCATGCAACCTCTCCCTGAACCTCAAACCGTAGCGGAACAGCCTCACGCTTCAGGACTTCGGGTTCCAGTTTTGGAGATCTTCCGTAGTACAGCTACCTGGCAAGATGTAATTAGCTGGGCTTCCATTCATTATGAACCCAGAGACTCCAATATCCCTTACTTAAGGAATATACCTTAAATCTTATTGGGGATCCTGCTATAACTTAATTAAGGTCTATTCCTTAATTAAGGGGTATTGGAGTCTCTGGGAACCACGCCTCCAAAGCCCTCATACTGCAAGACCCTGTTTTTTTTGGGTAAGCTCAAGAGCAACCCCGCGCTTGCCGCTCAATGTCGCCAGCCGCCAGCCAAGAGAATGACCGGCGAAAACGGGGCCTAGATAAGTACCAATACCATTTTGGGGGGTTCCTTATGATAAATATAGCATACTGGGCCCCAAAACCCTATTCGGATTATTGACGCCCTTACATTAGGGTGATTTCGGGGTTTGGGGTTTAGGCCGGCTCTGTGGGTCGCTTTGAAGTCCCTGAACCCTCTGAAAGGGGTTCAGCAGCGTTGAGCTTTTTGTCGGGCTTTTCTCCGACCCTAGTTTGATAAGCTTAGGGCTTACTACGTTGGTTGTAAGTAGGGTTCTGAGCACAGAAGGCCCAATTAGGTACTATCTCCTCTGCACCTCCGATCGTTCGCGTACTGCCCCTGAATCCTAAACCCTAAACCCTACACCCAACACCCCAAACCCTACACCCTAAACCGTAAACCCTACACCCTAAACCCTAAACCCTACACCCTACACCCTAAAACCCTAAACCCTAAACCCAAAGCCCTAAGCCGCACGGTTGTCAGGGGTCCCTCGAGCTCTGTGAGGGCGGAGGCCACAGAAGGGCTGGGATTGAGGTGATATGGCGGGTTCCTTTGAAGGTTCCTTTTTGGAGTGTTCCTTTAAGGGGTCCTTTGCGGGGTTCCTTTGAGGGTTCCTTTTTGGAGTGTTCCTTTAAGGGGTCCTTTGCGGGGTTCCTTTGAGGGTTCCTTTTTGGAGTATTCCTTTAAGGGGTCCTTTGCGGGGTTCCTTTGAGGGTTCCTTTTTCGAGTGTTCCTTTAAGGGGTCCTTTGCGGGGTTCCTTCGAGTGTTCCTTTACGGGTTCCTTTTAGGGTTTCTTTACGGGTTCCTTTTTGGGGTTCGTTTACGGGTTGCTTTTTGGGGTTCCCTTTTGGAGTTCCTTGAAGGGTTCCTTTTCACTTTGTGGGGTTCCTTTACGGATTCCTTTTTAGAGTGTTCCTTTAAGGGTTCCTTTGCGGGGTTCCTTTGGGGGTTCCTTTTAGAGTGTTCCTTCGAGGGTTCCTTTTAGGGTTCCTTCGAGTGTCTCTATAAGGCTTCCAGACGAGTTCCATAGACGGGTTTCTACGGTCAGGGTTCTACAAGGCTTCTGAGGGGTTGCTTGAGGATTGTGTGAGGTTTGTTTCTAGGTTCAAAACAGGAGGTCGGAACAATTAGGAAACCTCCACACCCTGAAACCCTAAGCACTTAACAGGGTGCTTTTGCCGTTTCAACAGTTTCACAGGGTTTGTGTAGGGTTGTTGTAGGGTTTTATAGGCCTTCATGCAGGGGGGGGACTAATTTGTAGTTCTGTCCCTTTGTGGTTCCTACAAAAGCGATAGTACAAGATGCCCCAAACCACTAACCCTAAACCCTAAGCCCTATAAGTTCTAAGTTTTCAGTTCCCTCTTGGGGGCTTTGAGCTTCAGGGTTCAAGCTTTGCGGGTTTCAGGGATGGTGTAGGGTTTACGGTTTATCCCGACTCAGGGCTTCAGGGTGGTTTGGGGTTTGGGGCTTTTAGGATTTTGCCATGCATTGGTTTCTTCAGGGGTGTTGAGTTAGTTTTGTTAAACGTTCCTCTCATCTAAACCCTAAACCCTAAACCCTAAGCCGTAGAATCTAGGCTTTATCGGGTTTAGGAGGATTCTTGGTTCCGGGGTTCGACATATGTATCATTTAGGGTTTAGGGTTTAGGGTTCCGGATTTTGGGACTCCTGGGGATGCAGGGTTGGTTTCACTATGAGCCTAGAGCCCGAAACCCTCAAGCATCAATGCTGACCTCCTAGTCTGCCCTGACCTAAAACCTAAACCCCAAGCCCTAAACCCTAAACCTTAACCCTAGCCCCGGAAGGAGGAATGTGTATCTGTCTTCGCATGTGGGATGGTAATTGAAGTGTTGCGGCTTTCTTGCGGCTTCAGGGTATGCAAGGGTTCTTGTTATGCTTGCATGAGGAGCTAAACCGTAAGCCCTCAAACCTTGCCCCCCTAAAAAACCCTGAAGCCTCAACCCTCAACCCTCCACCGAGCGCTACAGCCTGATAGAATGCCCATGTAGCAGCCTAGGCCCCTAAACTTCTAAACGCGTGGGATCACACCTGTGTGTTCCAATCTTTCGTGAGACCTCCTGCAAGATCGCAACATTGTCTCAAGCCTCAACAAGATGGAGCATGCCCAGGCTACGCGTGCCCCCTGATTACCCTGCTACCGAGCACTATTGCGAGGGCTCGGAGGCTGAGAGTCTTGCCTGCCTCGCAGTCTCCACTCCACGGCCTACCCGCCAGCGAGCTGGGCGAGTTGTGTGACTTTGTCATTGCTTCTCTCCGGCGGTTTTGGCACTAGCAAATCTGTTAACGCCAGGCATGAACAAGAGCTTGCGTTAAGCAGGTGGCCGCTCTCCTTCTTCGCCAGATCCGGTGTGCACAGGATGGGTATGTGAACATCTGTTTCGCTGCCGGGTTCTACAAAGCTGCGGAGAGGGACAGGGTTTAGGGTTTAGGGTTTAGGGTTTAGGGTTTAGGGTTTAGGAACACTCTCGCGATCCAGATCGCCACGTCGCCGGGACACCTCGTCAGTGGATCTCCTGCAGACGGCAAATGGTGTTAAACAAAAACTACAAAACCCCCAGACCCGAAACTCCTAGACCCTAAACCCCTTAACCCGCAACCCCAAGACCCCAAACCCCTAAACCCGAAACCCCTAGACCCTAAACCCCTAAACCCGAAACCCCAAGACCCTAAACCCCTAAACCCTAAACAGCCCTAAGACGCACCTCGAAGCCCTAAACTCCACACCCTGAGCCCGAACAGCTATTTAGATCCTTGGATATCACCAGGAAAAGCTAGAAAAGGAGCAACCCTTCATCCTAAACCCTCAACTGTAAACCCTAAAGCCTAAACCCTAAACCCTACACCCAAAACCCTAAACCCTAAACCCAAAACCCTAAACCCTAAACCCTACACCCCAAACGCTGGGATGCCAGAGGCCCCGAGGGCTCGCTCCGAGGAAGCCGGGGGCCGCAGGCGCCCAGAAGCCCCAAAACCCAAAAAAAAGGTAATTTGGGTTTAGGGTTTAGGGTTTAGGGTTTAGGGGTTAGGGTTCAGGGTTTAGGGTGTAGGGTTTAGGGTTTAGGGTTAACCAAATTAAGGGTAATTAGGGTTTAGGGTCCAGGGTTCACGGT